AAATTTAATTCTAAAGTTATATCTCTCGTCTATATCTTCTATAGAGAAACCTAGCTAAGTAGTTTTAAGTAGTTTTACTTCTCTATACTCTTCTATATAAATATCGAAGAAACTCGACTAAGTAGTTTTAAGTAGTCTTACTTCTCCGTCGTCTACGTATAGAGTCTCTATACGATATAGAGTATAGAGATTACCGCTTTTCTTCTTAAAGTACTCGAGAAGGTTAGTATTAGAGTCCTAGCTACTAAATATAGAAGAATCTAGACTAAGTAGTTTTAAGTAGTCTTATATTTTATAGCCCGGTTCGTATACTCGAGAATCTAAACTAAGTAGTACTAAGTAATTTTATATTTCTACCGTTTATTATATAAAACCGGAGATTTCGAGTTAAGTAGTTTTAAATAGTTTAGTATCCCTACCGTTCTCTATATAAAAACCGAAGATTTCGAGCTAAGTAGTTTTAAGTAGTTTAGTATTCCGATTAATACTACTTAACGCTAGAGAATAGACTATACTATATAAAACTAAGCTACTTTAAAATTCTTTTTTTCTTTCGACGTTATCCGCCGTATACGACCGCGTAACGAGCTTAGTAAAAATATTAGTCTAAGACCCCCTATATTTCTATTTCTTACTAATAACGGCCTTTAAGATAGTATTATTAGACGTCTTTATTTCGATAAACGATTCGATAGAGTTAAAGTATTTAACGCCGTTCTACGGCGTCTATAGAATTTAGATATAATTATTATATCTAGCGGCTAGATATCTAGTACTATATTTTATAAGTCTACTATCTAAACTATAGCCGTCTTTAATTAGAAGTTCTATATTATATCTTATAAGTCTATTATTTATATAGTAGCCGCTTCTAGCTAAGAGTTTAATACCGTATTTTACGAGTCTACTACTTATATAGTAGCCGCCCCTAGCTAAGAGTTTAGTACCGTATTCTACGAGTCTACTATCTATATAGTAGCCGCTTTCGATCGAGATATAGACTCGAATCGATATATCTCTACTAACTACGACCGAATACGCTTTAATTATCGTTTAAGCCGTATAATATTATCGCTTACGCCGACGGAAGGTAGATTAAGTACTTAATAAGATCTATAAACGAAACCCTCTATCTAGTTACGAATATTAAACGATAACTACGCTACTATAATCTTTACGGCCTCTCTTTTTACTACTAATATAGCTAGCCTATTATTCTTTACCCGAAACTCGGCGGCTAATCTATCTTAGGCTATATATATAGCCTATTAGACCCCGTTTTAAGATCTATAAGAATCTTAGCCTATAGTCTATATTATATCTCGAGCTTTTTCTTTTCTTCGCTAGATAAATTTATAGTCTACTTTTTTAATAGCTAACCGTAGTAGCTCTAATAGCGATATACTAGTATTATCGCGATACGGCTACTTTAGAAGAGAAAAAATACTCTTCTCGATAGTCTTAAGAGTTAGCGAACTCTAATAGCTAGCCGGCTTCTTTCTAGTATATATAGACGCTAATTTCTAGTAATATATATTATCTATATAGACCGCTACCGAAAGTAAAAACCGAAAATTAGAGTATAGCTTCTCGTACTAGACTATCGTCTATTTATTAATTAGACGTAAGGCGAATTCCGCGCGAGTATTTATCTTTAGAATCTAAATACGTTTCTCGGGCCTAGATATCTTAGTAAATACGAGATATAATAAAGAGTTATAGATACTATAATATCTCTCTAGCGGGATAGTAGTAATAAATATACCGCGAGATAATTTTATCTTATCTAAATACGCTATAATTACTTATCTATAGTATAGCCTATTTACTAGATACTTTTATTCGATAGATAACGCGGCTCGTTATTTCGTCTCTACTATAGTCTAAAACCGTATTATTATAACTAGCTAAGTTAATACTATCGTACCCCCGTCTCTATTAGATACGTTAGATCTATCTAAAAGATCCGATACTATTAAGATAGAGATATCGGTAATATTATTAGAAGTAAAACTATACTATAACTAACTCTATATACGCCTATAATTAGCTAGTAGAAGGTTTCTTTAATAGCGTCTCGCGGGCGTCCGTTACTTATTAGACCTTTTAGTAATATTAGAATTATCTCGCCCTTTAGAATCGAATATCTAATATAATAATAAGATAATATTAATACTAGATTAATCTTCTTCTCGGCTACTACGATCTAACCTCTATTAGAGGCTATTAATACTTATACTAATAGAAAAATTATATACGATAATACGTTCGATATCTAAGATATTAATTTCTATACTAAGAAATATCGTTATAACTATTATTCGGATAGTCGAGTTAGATTTATAGAACTCTTTATATTAGAAGATACGATTCTAGTCGAATATCTTAAAAGTAAACTTCTAGACGATATTATAAATATCGTAATACCCCCCCAAACTCGAATAGTATTAATTTTTAGAGCGTAGAGCTTATTAAAGAAAGATTACCGCCTAGCTAACGAAAATAAGTCTATCGACGAATATAATAGTCTTTAGTATAGCTAACGGCGTATATTCGCTATTAGCGATACTTTAATCTAGTAAGAAGTATAACGACGTAAATAATCTAATCGTTCTAATCGGAATTAGTCTAACGTAGATCGATATATCTAGATAGTTAATAGATATTCTAATAATCTTAGTCTAGTATATTTTAGAATTTATAGTATAAAATTTTATCTTATATAAGATAGTTAGCTTCGCGGCGTTAGTTAACGTAGTAGAATAGATAAACTATACTACGTCTTAGTAAAGCCTATCTCGTAACTCCCCTAAATATATAAAAGCTAGTTTAAAGTCCTTCTACTCCTCTATAAAATAGTATTTATTAATAGCGACTATATCTATCTTACGCTACGTATTAAGCTTATCTACTACTACTCGAAACTACTTCCGTCCGGTCTATTCTAAATCTAATAGAATATAGATATATTAGCCGGCCGTAATATCTCTTATTAAGTCGTTATCGTTATATCTATACTCGATAAGATACGGCCGAGTACTATTAAAACGCCGAATATTATCTAACTACTTCTTCCTAAGCTTACTTAATAGAATAATTTAGATAGTAATATACCGTATTAGAATAGAGAATATATAGAAGATTAAACTCTTACTAAACCCGATACGTATAATAAGTAACGTATTACTATAGTAAAATATTAACTATCTTAAAGTATAAATCTATTCCGGCCGTAGCTTACGACCTTTACTAAGAATACGTATAAGATAAGTATAAATAATAACCTTTTATAAATATACGTTCGCCTCGATACGCGCTATATCTACGATATTAGAAAGCGTACTTAATACGAGGCGAGAAATAGCTTAAATACGTCTAATAAGATTATCTTTAAACGATATAGAAGATATAGCTACTTATTACTTCTTAGACTTCTTCTTTCTTCTATTACGGCGTACTATAATTAATATCTATATAAATATTCGTTAGTATACGTAAACGAGTAGTTACGAGTAGTTTAGAGTCTCTACCGCCGCTATATAAAAATAGAAGAACTCCGGGTAAGTAGTTATAAGTAGTATTAAGTAGTTTAGAGTCTCTAGATTCCCCGCCGCCGCTATATAAAAACGAAAGAACTCTAGATAAGTAGTTATAAGTAGTATTAAGTAGTTTAGAATCTCCGCCGCCGCTATATAAAAACGAAAGAATATCTAGATAAGTAGTTTTAAGTAGTTTTAAGAAGTTTAGAGCCTCTAGATTTCCTACTACCGCTATATAAAATAGAAGAATACTTAGATAAGTAGTATTAAGTAGTTTAGAGTAGTTTAGAGTCTCTACTAATAATAACTATCTAAAGAAAGTATATAGGGTTAGATAGTATATCTTATTAGCGTAGTTTAAGATCTCTTTAACTTTATACTAACGCCTACTACGTTCTACGCGTAAATTTTATATATAAGGGGTTTCTTAGGCGATCGAATAACTCTAGCGTATATACGAAGAGGCTTATAATATATTATATAGTAGATACGAGGTATCGAGCGAACGCGTCGAAATACGTTTTAATACTTTTTTAGATAAGACTCTATACTAACGCCTACTACGTTCTACGCGTAAATCTTATATATAAGAGGTTTTTTTAGCGGCCGAATAACTCTAGCGTATTAATAGAGAGACTTATAGTATATTATATAGTAAATACGAGCGATCGAGCGAACGCGTTAAAGTTATTTAGATTTTACGCGTTTTTTTTTATCTTTAAGACTATACTTCGATATAAATTAGTATATATATTACTATAAAATATATACGAAACGAAAGCCTACCGTTAACGGAATCGCTATAGATAGAAATAAAGATAATAGAGAGTATTATTATAAAGTTATAATAATTCGAAAAAATTACTACTTTAAATTATATATAAATTACGACCGTTTACTCTTAGACGCGATACTAAGGGTTTTATACTAAATTAACGCTAAGATACTTAGCGTGCCTTTAATTAGCCGAGGAGTGTAGAGTAGTTTTAAGTAGTTTTACTCGCTTATTAAGCCCTTTAGCATCGCGTCTAACTAGTGAGATAACGTAAAGAAGGAGGCCACGGAATGAATTGATGAGTTCCACGAAATCAATTCCCCAGGCTCGAAAGGCGCTAGATTAGGGCTCGCACAATCGAAGATTCGGCTGCATGTGACTAACGGTGAAACCATACGGCTAGAGGAGGAGCAAAAGGCCTCGACAATGGCATCAGGTTCAGCCTCGCGAGCAGCATCAGTGAAGTCCACAAGAAAAAACAAGTGAGGCCATTGACACAAGTACGGCGAGCCAGACAGGGCTGCCAAGCTGGCACATTCCGCCGGCCGCAGGAGCTCCGGAGCCCGACGTCAGCCTCCGCCGCGCAAGCTCCAAACCTCCACGTTGCAGCCGCACTCCTCCCTGCATACGTACTCCATCGCTTTTCCCGCCCATGTCCTGAACCCGCACCGCTACCATCCGCCACCATGACGACGCGCGGCCAATTCAACACCAAGAACCCCACCATCAAGCGCATCCGTACGTCGCCCTTGCCCATCGCCGCACCGCACCACACACACACACACACACACACACACACACACACACACACACAGCCCCCCACTAACCCCACGTCCCCGCCCCGCCCACCAGTCAAAGAAGCGTCCGAACTCGCCTCCCACGCCTCCCCCGACTACCACGCCGAGCCGCTCGAAGACAACCTATTCGAATGGCACTTCACGCTGCGGGGCCCGCCGGCGCCGTCGCCCTACGCCGACGGCCTCTACCACGGGCGCATCATCCTGCCCGCGCAGTACCCGCTGCGGCCGCCGTCGTTCCGCTTCGTCACCCCGACCGGCCGCTTCGAGGTCAACCGCGAGATCTGCCTGTCCATCTCGGGCCACCACGAGGAGTCGTGGCAGCCCGCCTGGGGCATCCGCACCGCCCTCGTCGCCATCCGCTCCTTCATGGACACGGACGCCAAGGGGCAGGTCGGCGGGATCGACAGCACGGATGCGGCGAGGCGCGCGATGGCGAGGGAGAGCGCCGCGTATAGGTGCGCTGCGTGTGGGGGGAGGCAGAATGCTGAGATTATGAGGGAGAGGGAGGAGATGGCGGCGGAGGCGGAGAGGGGCGAGGAGGGCGCGAGGAGGGAGGAGGAGGAGGTGCCCGAGGAGCTGCGCTTGGCGTATAGGGAGGACCTGGCCGCGAAGGGGGAGGCCGAGAAGGCGCAGGCGAGTTCGTCGGCTGCCGCAGCTGAGTCGCCGGAGGGTAATGTGGCGGCTGAGACGCCGCAGGGCCCGGGTCAGCCGGCTGCTGCTCAGTCACCCTCTGCGCCTGCGGCCACGACTGCTCGGTCGTCATCGTCGACGACACCTGCCGGCGGTGCGCCAAGAGCCGCTGTCCCCGCACCTACGCGCACCGTGCCCGCGACTACTCCGGCTCTGCGGCAGCAGCAGCGGCCGCCGCTGGATGATGGCGTGCCGGCTTGGATCGACAAGGCGATATACGGTGTTCTCGGGGCTCTGGCGTTCATGATTCTCCGGAGGTTTTTCTAAGAGCTTTGTCTCTCTCAATCACCTATCGGTTGCATTTCATTTCATCCTGGAGGCCGTTCGAAAGAAAACGAACAAGGCAGCCGGTTTCATGTCATTTTCATTCAGGGAGTCTTAGAGAACAGACGGGTTTAGCGCGGCGTTGGGGATTGTTATTACCATTCTTGATACCATCAAGCCTGTGAGAAGAACAAGGGCTTGTTAGTACCACCTAGTTTCTAATCGCTATTGTTAGAACGTGGGCTCCTTCTGGGCGCCTTTGAGAAATCCATTGCCTTCATCTGGCTTAGTACTGAGGTGAATTTTTGTGGGTCCCTCCACGAGTTTCCCGGAACCTTTGCCGGTGTGGCTTCTGGTAAGCTGCCGTTCGAACCGCTAGTAGATATCGAGACGTCATGCCATACTCTTCTCTCGGTGATGCTTTACTTTTCGGTTCTCCCGCGTCCCGATCAGTGTGTTCGAGCTATTTGCGTCATAAAGGACCTGCATGCTATTATCGCATACATGAGTACGAATTACTGTTTCTCAAGTGTACATTACAAACGCCTTTTTTGTTTCGAAAAAGGAATTCAAAGAAACAGGTCCGGACAGACACGAACAATAAAAAAAAAAGTGCGCTGCCTACGACGAAGGTGGTAGAAGAAGCGTAGCTACTGGTAATACAAATAACGAGAAAAAAGGAAAAAACCCTCCCCCCCCCCACCCAGTCCCAATCCCATTAACGACTCCCCCTCTCTCTCACAACCTCTTTTCCCCCCTCTCCCTCTTTCCCCCCCTCTCCCTCGCCCTCTCCCACCCCTCATCATCCTCCCCCTCATAATACGCCCGCTCATGCGGAAAGTGTTCGTGCTGCTGCTGATGTTGCTGTTGTTGCTGTTGCTGTTGCTGTTGCTGTTGCTGTTGTTGCTTCTCGAAGAGGGCGACGTTGAGGGATCGCGGGGAGGGTGCGCCGCCACCGCCGCCGCCGCCGATGCTGTTCTTCTTCCTGCTGCCGGGGGGGCTCATGCCGTGCCCGTCGTGCGAGTGGCGGGGGGAGCTGGGCGCGTAGGCGGTCGTGCCGCCGTCGTGGTCGAGGTCGGTGCCGGTGCCGGTGTCGCGCGAGGCGATGGCCGCGAGCTGCTCTGTAGTTGTGGTACCGGGGTTGTCGGCTTTTTTTTTCCCGGTGTTTTTTTTGGATGTTTGCATGAGCGTGTCGGGAAGGGGGGTGGTTGGTTCGGTTGGGGG